TAAAATATTCTTTTTTCCTTTAAGAATACAAAAAAGTATGAACATATTTTAAAATGATCTGTGCACTGTATTCACATTAACTTTATCCTTTAATTTATGGGAAATGAACATTTCCATAGGGGCAGCTCATAAGGAGATAAAGGCACATATAAATAGGAATAAAAATATAGTAAAAATAAATAAAACAATATTTTGATATTTAAATATCATCTAATTTAATGTTTTAAAATAAAATTTTAAAAGTTTAATTCTTTTAAAAATCAAAGACATTTCCTAGTGTACTCTATCAAAGGTTCATGTGATCTTGTTATGAGTCAGAGAAAATCCAAAGGAAAGAAAACCTGTTTTTACTATTGTTCAGTTTCACTTAGAAATCAAAACAAAAAACAGGGCAATAAATGTCTCTAGCAGTAAAAGCTGACCATGGGGAATAGGTCAGTAGGTAGGTATAGCTAATGTTTATGTTACAACATTGAGATCTGAGTCAAGAGATTGTGGTAGTAGACCCAGTTATGTGCAGGGAGACAGTGGCATCTCTTTGAAAACAGGAACTGTGGAAAAAGTTCTCATGTCTCTAGGACATTGTCTGGCAAGCTGGGCTTTCAAAACCTTCAAATCTGCATTCAGTTATTTTTTTTTCAAGGTATATTCACATTTACAAGGTGAACTATGGAAAAAAAAAACACTTTTTGCTTTTTGGCACCTGTGCATTAATGTGAATCATTTCTCCTTGAAAATAATTATATCTAGAAGGTGTGTGCTTCAATTAATAACATGGTAAAAATCTGGAAATCTGGATTGCCTCAGCAAAACCTAGAGGATACAAAGTTAGTAACAGCAACATCTTTGTGTTTATAATTTTCTCCCTGTTTGTTCTTCAAGCCATTATTGCATCCAATATTATTGTCTGATATATATTTTTAACTCTGTCCTTCACTCTAGACTTTAATTAATATTTTTAGGGGCTGGGGATGTGGCTCAAGCGGTAGCGCGCTCACTTGGCATGCGTGCGGCCCGGGTTCGATCCTCAGCACCACATACAAAGATGTTGTGTCCGCCGAGAACTAAAAAATAAATATTAAAAAAAAACTTCTCTCTCTCTCTCTCTCTCTCTCTCTCTTTAAAAAAAATTAATATTTTTATTCCTATCTGAAAACAATCTCCTCTTATGAGGCAATATATCAAGGGAGTTTTTTTGGTTTTTTTTAATTGTTAAGAGTAACCATGACATGAACATTCTAAGTTTGAAATAAAAGTAAAATTTCGGTTATACAAGATAAATAATTGCTAGAGATATGTTATGCAAATCCTGCCTATAGTTAACAATATTGAATTATGCACTTAAAATGTCATTAAAATGTAGAGCTCATGTTTTCTTATCATGATAGTAAAGAGATAGAGAAATAGTAGGTCTAAGACAAGAAGCTACTTGATGAAGTGAGACAAGAATAGGTAGGAAAAGATG